AGAGCCGGGCGGATGGTGTTGAAGGCGCTGGAGAAGTCAAAGAACATGATTCTCACTGTGCTCGCCGGCTTGTCCAGGTGATTGTAGACTCTGTTCAGCAGGAAGATAATGTTGTCCTCCACTCCCAGGCGGGGCTGGTAGGCGAACTGTAGTGGATCAGTGAAGGGCCTGACCATGGGCCTTAGCTGCTCCAGGACAAGCCTCTCAAAGGTCTTCATGATATGGGACGTCAGTGCTACCGGTCTGTAGTCATGAGGGTCGCTAGGGCGCGAAAAGAACAATTAATTGGTAATTAAACAAGAAAAAGAAACCAACAATGTTATTCCAACACTCTGTACAATGCCTGATGTCCTACTTTATTAACAGTTTTGGCTAATGTTGTTTTCAGTCTGCTGCAGCATCGGAGACTGGAAGAAGGTGAGGAGAGTAGTGAGAACTGCAGAGAAGATAATCGGGGCTCCTCTTCCCTCCATAAAGGACATTTAAAAACCTTTTTTTCCTTCTTACTTTTTACCTTTACTTAAGTATAGGTCAAAAGTACATTTTTACCAAAACGTTTCTCAAGTCAATGTAACTGGGCAAATGTAAGTAGTTACTATTCCCCTCTGATTCCTACGAAAGCAATGAGCTAATATCTAGCAGGAAATGACAAGGTCACTGCTAGTGGTATATTAACTTCCTCCAGCTAGCTCTTATTAGGTTATTATAAAGGTATTCTTTCTGATGGCTCTTATCCCAAACTAGGTTAGTTCAATGAATGACTTTCAGGAACACTATGTCCAAAGGAGGAATATGTTTACCTTGGTGTCCAAAAGGATGGAAGTCTATGAATGAAATACATGGGTTGTAATTATTTCAATTAAAAACATAAGGTTTTGTAATACTTGTGGCATAGTTTGAGGTTATTTTTGACTTGCTAATGTTTATGTTTTTGTTTTATAATGTATTTAAAATTGTGGGATCAGAATGTGTGCATAAGAGGTCCCGATAAGAAAGGCATCTTAGAAAATTGGAACGGAGGTAATTATTAGGCTTCTTAGAATCAGCTGCAATGAAAAGGGTTAGTTTATGGCAATAATGAAATGACAATAAATGTTGTCCAAGTCTTTAGATATACTGTAGAACAATGTAAAGACCAAAATGATTGGATAGTCCCATGCCAAACATACGGTAACTGTGGATTTATATATCAGCCTGCCCACCCACACCTGCCCAATGCACAATACCATCAAGCCTCCTCTCACCTGGTGGAGAGTGGTCCATGAGGGTTCACCATTTGTAGAGTGCCTGACCTTCACCAGCTTGATATTCAACAGCTTCTCTCAATTCAGCGGTGGATTTCTAGAGCACTCCTTAAGTTCCAATGAGCTGCTTAATTGCTTTTTTTAACTAATGCTTTGCCAGACTAATGTTATTGAACCTGTACGTTTGCCATAGTGAAAATCTATAGTTTGTGGACTGTTAATTTGGTGACTTCGGCATGCAATTAATTGCACTTTTTTCAGGGTCTCAAAGAAAATGTAACAATGCTGTTGTATACTTTAAAGAAAAAAGCAATGATCAAAAACTACAAGAAGCACACACTACAAAAAAAAAAAAATAAATAAATCAGCAAATAGCAAAAATACCTTATGAAAGGCATTAGCGAGATATTGCTTGACTTTTTTTTTTTGAGTATGAAAAAACGTTTCTCCTTAATTAGTGTGATAATATTTCATTGATTTACCTAAGTGGGCTGACATTAAGTACCTCATATTTCATACAATCCATTAATAGGCAGTTTTTTTGCACACCACCTGTGTGAAAAGCATGTGGAAAATGTAGTTGCCCTGAGTTAAGAGAATCTCTTTTTTGCCTTTTCATAGTGACCTACTTTACAATAAATAGCAGATGCACATTTTTTTTTTTTTATAAAAATAAACTTTATCAACACAAGCACATGTAATAGAATTTCAGCCCCGGTAGATCCATCCACAAATGGCTAAACCGACCAGAAGCAACCATTTCTGCTGAAGTAAAAAACAGAACTTCATCATATTTTAACAGAAGCTGATGACAACTCTTTCCCCAAAGAGTTTACAGTAAATATATAATACTGTCTGTTAATATACCTTTAAAACCATGAGCTGACATTAAAAAAAGTTTCTTATGAAACACAGTTGATAAATATACGTATTTGAGCAAAAGCTGAAGCTGAACTGAAACTTTTTCTTTCAGTAGACTAATGACTTATGATATATTTAATTACCGGTAAATTAAATATATTAAGTAGGGCTTCAAGTTAGGTAACATACTGTAATGTGCAGAATTTACATTCAACAGGATGCTGCAGGTATTTTGCATAGTAGAAAGATTTATAAGGCCAAATGTCTATTTTCTACAAAATAATTAGATGCAAACCGCTATATGAAAAAATGACTGAACGGTTGCATGCTTATTAGCTTTGCATACCAATGTCAAATCAACACTGCGGAACCATACTTTGTGCTGCTTCCTGGTGTACTCCAATTTCCTCCCAAGGTACAAAAGTTACCCAGGCCACCCAGGACAGGGCTTATTTTTATTTTTATAATGGTGTGTATGGTGTATGGATGTATGAATCGATGGATGGATGGACGGACAGAGGGTTTTAATAAAATAGCCGAATATTAAGATGATCATATAAAGAAGTTGTGTGGTATCTAATTTTAAGAGCAACAGGAACCTGCTAGCATCAAAGCCATGTATAGTAAACCCTTTTCGATGCTTGCTACTGACTGCAATATTTATAGACTAAGACAAATGTCACCATCACTCACATCCTGACTCACTTCTCTTTTGGTGTTAATTAAGCCATACTATAACAATGTAAAACAACAGTATTCTATTAAAGGGTTAAGAACTTTGTAATTATCTAGGGTCATTTATAGGCAAAAAGGAATCCATCAGATCTGTATATATTTTTTAAATTAATTATACAAGAGGTTTTGTACTCCTGTTATAAAGTTGAACAGGTGCAAAAGTTCAACAGTTGGAAAAAAAAGGACATTTTTCCTGTGCATAATATAAATCATTATTTAAACGTTCTGCTTTAAAACGTTCAAACAAATAAGATCACACGGTTGCTACAGAGGGGTGGCCTAAAGGAGGAAGCTACCAGTTCTGTGGTTATGCTGACATGAAATCACCTCCTGTTTCAAACAGAACACAGAAAGGCAACATGCAAAATGGTTCCTGTGAGGACCAAATGCAGCTCATTTCAATAACAACCTAAGCTATTTTGTCTACTTGCACGCTTATTGCTTTGTGGATGTTCTTTTTTTATGTTTAACACTTTGTTGGGATGTAGATTAGGCACAACTTTTACAGTTTTGACTTTACCCTAAAGAGCAGGCGGCAACCAGATCTTCTTTGACCACAAAGTAAGTGTATTAAGTTTTGTCTCTTTGCTTGTTCATCATGGGGATGTGGCTTTGCGTTGATTATAAAACAACAAACATAACATTTTCTATAATATTCTTTGAAACAAAACCTATTTTTGTTATTGTTGCTAGTATTTATATGGTGTTTAGAACAATTTGGAGCTGATTTTATTCTTTTTTCGTCAAACTTATAAAGTCTGACAGTATGGTACCGACTTCTAATTACCATTTGGATCGTTTTTTCAGTCAAATACGACTGGATCTTGTTGTAAGTAGGGTTACAACCATCAGAGAATTTCTTTTTCAAAGGACTGAGTTCTTCTCTAAGAGTTTTATATAAATCCAGTAAGCAGTATGTTGATAAACTGTAATAAGTGACACAAAAAGGAGAAAAAGTATTCAGGAGCATGGCCATAAAAGATCCTCCTAAAGTAAAACCTTATTCGCTTGTGAAATCATGAGATAAATCTACATCGTGGCTTTGTGTCCAAATGGGCAGAAATAAATCTGTTTGTGAAAATAGTGAAAAAGACCAGACAGTATATAGCACAAACATAACCAGGTAATTATATCAAAGTCAGAGTGTAAACTGAATCCTGGCGGAGAAAAATCCTTTAAACATCATGACTCAAAAACACAATCAAAATAATACATACTTTTATAAACAGGGGTTAAAATATTGGTGCAGTAAACTAACTGAAATAAAAGCAAAAGAGCTGTTTAATTTGCAACCAATCACATTTCGCTGGCCTTCCTGTAATTTGACATAAGAGGCATTTGCATGGCTGATTGACTTCTATGCCTTTTTCCACAATTAAATCTTTTTTGACAACTCATCTTTCACTAAAGATTGATCTCCTGTCATGTTTTTCTTATCCTTCTCTCTTCAGGATGAATTCCACTGAGACCACGCAGCAACCATTAAACACCACAAACACCGCAAACACCAAAAACACGATGGATCCTCAGCAGTACCGCATTACCCTCCTGGTTATATATTCAGTCGTTCTGGTTTGTGGTTCAATCAGTCTGAGCTTGATGATGCACATCCTGAAGTCTAGTGCTGCTTCTGCAACCTCCATCACGGTGTTCAACTTAATTTTTGCCCATTTCATCTTCCTCCTGACCGTGCCATTTAGACTTTACTACTATGGAACCAATGAGTGGAATCTGGGTCTAAACTGGTGTAAAATGGTGAGCGGCATGATCCACATCCACATGTACATGTCTTTTTTGCTCTACATGATTATCCTCATTACCCGCTTATGGCCACACTACTGCAGGATGAGGCAGATGGACTCCTTAGGCCGAATGCAGGCGCTCATTGGCAGTGTGGTGATGTGGGTTGTTGTACTTGTTCTGATCCCTTGCATCATCTTTTCTTTTTATGGCAACAAAGACAAAGACAAAACTTACAATACCACACGTTGCTTTGATTTTGCAGAAAGCATGAGCTCTACTAAAGAACTCAACTACATACTGAGCACACTGGTGATAGTGGTGGCTATTGTGCTGACAGCCCTTCAGGCCAACGTCCTTTACGTTTTATACAACAAGGATCGGCAAGGATGCACGTCGCAGCAAGACTTTGGGGCTCAACTGAAGAGCCTTTGTTTCACACTCATCATGCTGGTCTGCTTTGTCCCCTACCATATTTTCCGGCTGTATTACATTGAGCATACATATCTTCAAAATATCAATGAGGTCTTTCTGAGCCTGACCACTTTCAACTGTTTGGACATGCTGACTTTCCTGGGGAGGAGAACATTTCATATCTGTCTCAGAGGAAGGGGTGTTTAACCAAACTCTACAATAACTGTGAATGTGTTTACTGGTTACAAACATTTTAAGGAAGTTAATATTTGTTATCTCTATTTTTTTTTTCTCAGTTGATCCTAAATGATTTGGGATTTATTTTTAATAAACTTATGATTTTCTGTGCTGCTTCATTATATAACCTTCCACTGCCATCAAATACTATCATAGTTGTATTTATGAATAGCAGAAATGTATTCTCCTTTTTATTGCTCAGAATTAAACTCCAACTTGAACTTGCTTCAAAAAGAATCGACTCCTGCCATCTGCTGGTGTATGTCTGTACTACATATTGTTCATGCTTGGGACTGCAGTGTTATCCCAGACCACTAAAATTAGAAGTCCAGTCTTCATTTTTATATAAAAAAATGTTTTAAAAGCTGTAATAACATTGATAAAAACACAAACATACATATCCCAGCACAAACCACACTTAAACAGAAGTATCACTGCAATTCAAAATTAAAAATTTAATCAGAGAATAAAAATGAATCCTTTACAGCTGTTAAACATAATCTTAAATTTCTTGGCTTATGTATTTGTGCATCTTTTGTGTAAGAGGGCCTTTTTTCATACACATATAGACTTACTCACAATCACCTGCTGATGTTTCTCCTCTCCAGTTTTTATGGACCTGGGTTACTGTTTAACATCCCCACCCTAGTTTGAGTTTGTTTAGTAAATCGATCTTATGACAGGGCTATGATGGCGCCATCCAATGTGTCGCTCCATGAATTATTGGCAGCTTAGCTCTCCAGCCTTCCCTTTTAATGTTTTCCAACACTTTACACTATTTTTAAACCCAGTGCTCCATAAGCCTGATGGCTCACTGAGTGCTGCTGCCTCTCACAGTACAACTTTACCCCTGGATAAATGCACATACAAGACGGAAATAGTAAAACGGGTAAGTTATCCATTTTACATTTCTTAAATTTGTTTTATGTTTAAAACTCAGCATATTCATATTTCAGACGGACCGAATGAGATAAAAGTCTCACAGTAAACCTAAACCACAGTTTCTTGACATGTCCTCTTCTGCAATAAGTTCCTTAAATCATGTGGTTTTGTAATTCATAGAAAATGGTTATAGACCTCGCTTGCATAAAGTGGTGGTGCTGCTTTAAATTATCTAGCGTAACATAGACATGCGAAAAGCAGATAAGAAAGACACACTTTGTCACGAATGCTGTGCTGTAAAGATCATGTGATAACCCATTTCACCTGAATGAGCCAAGGACATAAGCAGTAACAAGATATTGCTCTCTTCACACTGTGGTATCCCTTCTTTCATCTATCAGGGGATTTCAGAATCAACATGGTTTAATCATAAGTGAAATAATGGGATTTCTATAATCAGCACTTCATTTGCTCTAATGTAACTTTTGTACTTTCACTAACACACTGCTTTTGCTGCTGCCTGAACTGTGTGGTGTTTTAAATAAATTATAAATACATCTGGGCTGTTGTTGATTGACTCTTGCCATTGTAGTTATTAAGTTGGGCTATCTCACCAGTTTAATGACTTTGTTTGAAAAAAAAGCAAATTAAACGTCATTTTAACTTTGCATTTTGAAAAATGTGACTGAAGTTTGCTTTAAAAAATGTAAAGCGAACCTTATAATTACAACAATGATTCAATCAGTCTAAAACTTGTTTTGCTTAATATTTTAGACTGATGAGGTAATAATAAGGGAAAGGTTAGTTAATTATTTGAAGCTTTGTAGGCAATTACTTTTATGAGGAACTTTAACTCTTTCAGTAAGGTGGGGTTTTTGCAGCAGTGACTTGCTATTCATGTGTGTCTTCAGGTCTAGTTTAAATACAGGCGCTGGTATTATGGCCATTTCACAGATAGATTACCTCTTAACCAAGGGTTTTATGGCAGGAGAGAGCTTTAGGTTGAAAGGCGGAAGCAGCATTTCTCATTTACTCCGTCTCCTGCTGCAAGAATTAAAAACAGCTTACAGGTGAAAGTAGATAACATCCTGCTGAAAAAGTCCCAGTCTAACATAAAAAAAGATTAGACTTTTACTTCTTCAGAACAGTTAGGATTACAAATGTGCTAATTGCTAATTTCCTAGATGATAACATAATGATTCATTAAAATAATTCTAGTAATTCAGGGTTTGCTTCTGCCTTTCCTTAGCTTTACGTAAAACTTTCATTAAAACTGTATAATCCTGTCAAACATTTTGGGTATTTCCCAAACTTCTTACACTAGTTTGCTGAAATATTTCTTTATTCTTTGCGGCAGAGCTGATATAACTACATCAAGTTTTCTCACATCTTTTCAGCTTTTTTTACCATTTATCTATGGAAATGAGATTAGGTTTTTTTTAGCTGGCCACGAAAAACCTTTCTCACCAAGGTGTAACTTCCTGGCTGTTTTTTTGAGATGTTGCTACAATATTGCAACATGTAGTTGTTGCAGCCTCCTATTGCATAAAGAGAAGTACTTACAGTGGAACACTTTAGAGCAATTTAATTTCAGAGTGGGTGAAAAAAATATTTCTTAGCAGTGTATTCAAGTATTCACGCTCACATCTTGGTTTTATTTGAAATCGCTGTGTCAAGACGTATGCAACACAATTCAGTTTCAGGCTAACTTGATGAACAAGTATGCCTGGCCAGGGCGTGCTACCAAGTTGATTATAACCAAATCTGTCTCCAAATCATACCTTCACATTACAGTGTTTTTTAATCATGTTATAACTGGCTTCTGATTAAAGTACATGATAAAAATATTTACACAACTTACATTTTTCCATAGTTTGTTGCAATATAACTACAAACTTTGCAGCATATTGATTTTATAAACAAAAAGGAAAGCAGTACATTGAGCGGAATATTATTCACAAATAAAAGCCCAAAGAATGTAGAATACATTTGTTACTATATTTCCCTTAAATAGGTTTTGCAACCACCTTTCTCTGAAGTTTTATTCTGCATATCTCTTTGAAAGCTTCACACCAAATTTTCTTCAGGTTATTTGCAAGGTAGTTCAAGCTATGTTCATGTTGAACAAATTTATTCTGTTGAAAAAATATTTAGGGTTTGCCAGGGATTCTCAATTGGATTAATGTGTGGATTTAGACTGCAGCACAATAACACAAGGAAACACTTAGAAATAAATAAATCCATTGTGACTGATTCTGTGATCAGTCATTTATCCTTCTTTGGGGTTTCAGAATAATTGTATATTTATCTTCCTACCATCTCTACTAGTTTTCCTCTCCTGCTTCTCAAAAGTATTGCTATACAGTAACTTGTGCATGTTGTTCAAAACTTTCTTTTCATTCTCATATAACCAAAGCACCATCTTCCATACAAGTTAATTCTGTCATTTGCAACATGCTATATAACTTGTCATGAGTAACTATACATCAGTTGCGCCATTTTTCAATTATAACCAGCGTTGTGGAATGCAAAAATAAAAGCAACAACCCAGCTATCCTCCAGAATGAATGGTGTTCTGTGAGATTTATCAGTGTTCAGGGTTTCTTATGTTAAACTTGCTTTTTAAGAAAAAAAACAAAACTTTATCTCTTACCCAGCATTCGTGTTTCTCTGTCTGTATCTTGTTGTTTGTTTACTGATTTTTCTGAGAAACCTTTAAGGCCTTCCGTTGGGTTAATGTTACAACATACAGCTAATGCTGAAATGAAAAAATGAGAAGTTAAAGGAGATTATTATTACTAATATCATAAGACAAAGTTACCAATTCCCTGACCCGTACTTATACCTTTTTTTTTTCTTTTAAGCCGTTAACCAAGATGTGATAATGTTTATTCTTTACTCATTATATTATCATCTCCCTTGCAAAAACACTACTTTGCTTTTTTTTCTTTTTCTAATGAACCAACTCATTACAAATGTAAAGCATCAAATCAGCCCTATAATCATCTTAACTTTTACAATCTTCTTTGTCACATTTTAAACTGATTGCCTCTAAAATGCTCCACCAAATTTAGTACCATTGGAAGACAATGATGTAAAAGGCTGGGTGACTATGTTTAACTGGGTTTTGCCATGGGAGCTATTCAGTGTGTTTATTATGTCCCCGCCCTAAAAGAGGCAAACTAAGGGAGGGTCGTTCTACTCATGGTTTGCCCTTTTGAATTCATCTTCTTCTCTTCTTTAGTAAAAGAGGTGTGAAGTACATCAGTGGGATAATTACTATACTATTATTCTTGTGAGTTTTACTCTGATTAGATTATACTTGAGTTGGGTTCTAAGTAAAGAGGTCTAGTATTTATATTTTTTTATTTTAACAATCTCTCTGTTATCATCCTAAATCTACAAACGAAGACCCTTAAAGGTGTAAATCCAAGGTGTGTGTGGATGTGTGTTTTTGCCTCGGTGTTAAAGGAAGTTATCAGTGTTCTCCACTTTTTTATAGACTATATCTACCGAGGTGATAGTGCTGTTTCACCAATGTTGATTAGATTATGAATCCCTGGAAACACACACCCACAACCCACCCCCCTCACCAACACACACACACACATGCACACAGTGGTATTTTGCAATTCTTATTGACACTTAGCTTTCACTTCCATTAATTTCCCATTTAAAAGGCCAACCCCAGACCTTTGCCATCACCCTAAAAATCACCAATACAATACTAACAATACAATATTGACCCAAACTCAGTTCACTAACCCCCAGCCAAGATGAGAGAGCTTTTCCTCACAGGGACCAGCAGACTGGTCCCCACAATGTTGCACATTCCTGGAAATTGGCATTTAATGTTCACACAATGTAACAAACAGATGCACAAACAAGTATGCACCCTAAAAAGATAATGCAGCTCCAACTTAGAATAATTGCTTCAATTGATAACTAATAATTGAATAAAGTTTCCCCAACTTGATTTATTTCATTTTATAAGTTCCAGCTTTTAAACTTGAAAAAAATAAGGTGGATAAACTGGATTCAATTGCTTTTTGCCCACTGAAGCAAATCGTTAAAGTTGGTGCTGCATTTTCTTTTTAGACTGTGTACACAGCTGAAAAATAACGTCTGAGGTAGAAGAAGCTGGTCAATTAAATCTCCACTTTACTGCTGTTTGTGTATTATTGTGATAAGTTCATAAGCAGAGAAGAGATAAGTAAGCTGTACTAAGGTAAGAATTCTTAGCTCCTGGCCCCACCTTTTTTTGTGTTCATGACCCAATCAGACCACATTATAGGCCTGTTATTCCAGGGATCTCCCCTGCTTAGTATGTGAGAGTTAAATGAAACAGAGACAAGAAAACAGAAACAAAGGAAAAAAGGTAGCTCAACTGGAAGCAGGAATGAAATATCCTCCAGCTCCTCAAAGTAAACCTCTCTTAGACATGGAGGTGGCCAACTACTGCGAAGGCCTGGATCCATCATACAGCACTCTAGGCTTTGAGAATGCAGAGGTTCTTTATGCAGGAGGAGGTAAGTGAGCTTTTATCCAGACACCTGAACAGAGAAATATCATTAAACTGTCCATCTTGTTTGTGAAACTGTAATGAATAAGCTCCTGTTTAAACATAACGGAGCCATAGACTCATTCATCTTTTTAGTATTGACTTTATGGATGCATGGCAAGCTATCGCTCCTCACGCATACATTATTATGACATTTCTTAGAAAAAGGTTAACCTTATGCGACGTCATCACATTCAAAAATTGATAAGGAAATATTTTTCCAAAAGGTATTTACAGATGAAGAGACACTAGATATAAAAGAACGGTTTTTATCCAAAGGGGAATGGTTTTGCTTTCAGAATAATTTGATGAGCTTGGGGAAATTTATATCAGTCAATAAATTAATGTAGTTGTGTTCTATTAGCTGACAAAGTTGTTTTTTTCTACATTATTAACCAAGGATATATATCTGCCTTATGTGTACTTACAAAGTAATTTTGTTTCGGTTTTCTTTGTGTTGTAACTAATCCGTTTGACTTTTTATGCTTCACACTGAAATCAAAAGTGAAGAAAAGTAGAACTGAATCTTTTGCTGAGAACAGTTAAATTTATATAAATTCCACCTTCATATTTTGATGGAAAAATGCTACGTTTAGCAAAAAAAAAAAACAACTAATAATGTATTTGATTATATAATTTAGGATACAGTATCCCACTCCTCTTTCTCTGGTTTACTGTTTTTTAATATTTGTATTTTTCTTTTATATACTAACAATAAAAAGAGGAACACTGGGCTGTGGTTATTAACAAATAATTACCACAATCACTTAGTTGGTCCTTGTCTTTTGTTTCTGTATAACCATAAGAGTTCAAGACATGCTTTTGATAAGTAATGTTCTTAATATTTATTAATCAAACACTTTGATAAGTTTTATTGTATTTATATATCTTAAATGACTTATACCATGAAAACTTTCATGATAGTAAATGCTTCACAAAGCAAGATGAATAGAAAATACCTCAAACAAGTGAAAACTGACAGATTTGGTGGTCCTTGTTGAGAAGTATTAGGTTGTCTTTGATTTGAGGCACACAGATGACATCAGAGAGTGTCGTGCCTTTGCTAAAATACGCCCAATTTATGATGTTTTATTTCGGTGTGAGGCACCGGGCGGAAGACTCAGTGTAATGTTGCTCTCTACGAATCACCCAGCCTTTGTTGTCTCAAACACCTATGGTACACAAGAGCCACAGCCTTCTTCCAGAGTAGTTTTGTTAGAGATCTAAAGAGTTTTCTACAACCTATTCTTTCAAACTATTCTTTCATCAGTGCAGTTTTTGGCTTTATGCCTCTTTTTTCCATCTTCTGCTGAATCGATCAATCAACTCACTGATTAATCCACTTTAAATGAGGCTCTCACAACTTGCAGTCTTCATTAAAAAAGACAAGTACAGTAAAAACATGAAGCAGTTGGAGACCTGAGTCATAAATATAATTTAATAAAGAGTAAGAACACTCCTCAGTGATGTCACCTTAGTTTTTGATTTGAGAGTCAAACATTAACTCATTGTTAGTGTATCAAACAGTACAACTAAGGGAGACATGAATATCCGAACATATTTCTCATCAATGTATATTTGCAATGTATAAAATATCATAACTGTGTATAATAAACATTTATAGAAACATTTATGTAGTAGTAATCAGGATAAACACAGCTTCAGTTACAATAATAAATGCTAAGACACCCTGCTGACTGCCATTATATTGCTTAGCACTTCAACAACACATATATACACGTATATAAACATTATTTAAGAACATTCTTGCATGCTATTATCCTAAGAACAGTTCTTACTATGGCTTTAAACGTGGATATGTTGAGAATGCTGCAAACCAGTAAAACAAAACAATATGTACTATATCTGCATACAATGCTTATTATGGTTAATTTGTTTGAAATGTTATCATAGTAATGTACAAATGTGTAGAAATATGAACATTTATATGACGGTGTGTTGCAGACAGCATGCCAACAGAGCCAAGCCAATCTGGTCCGGATGGGTTAAGCACTAATTGTGCAATCTGTGGAGACAAAGCTACAGGAAAGCACTATGGGGCCTCTAGCTGCGACGGCTGTAAAGGTTTCTTTAGACGCTCCATACGAAAAAACCATGTGTACACCTGCAGGTACGGACAATCAGTGAATACCATTTAGGCACATGTGGAAAGTGTACAATTTCAAAACCTTTTTTTTTTTTTTTTTTTTGCATGTACAGGTTCAACAGACAGTGTGTGGTTGATAAAGATAAGAGAAACCAATGCCGTTTCTGCAGACTCAACAAATGCTTTAGAGCAGGCATGAAAAAAGAAGGTAAGATGACAAAAATGACACTTTTTGTAGCTCCTCACATTTCTTAGAAAGAATGAAATGCATAATAAAAACAGAAGAACTAGAAAAAGCCCACGTTCGGCATAAAAAACTAATGGTTCTGTGGGGGAAAAAATGTTTATCATGGACTCTCAAAGCCTCTTGAAAATAATCGAAATTGGTTTAACTGTAAAGGAAGTGATGACATTGTGTGTGTGTTTGTGTGGTATGTGTATTTATGAGGGTTATAACCTTGGCACAGAATTTTATGACACCTAATCCTGTGATTCTGAAACATGTTGTTCTGGTTAAAGTTTTACTTCTGTTGCTGATCCCAGCATCTACAGTGACTTTCCTAACTATTAACCACAGTAGTGTCTGTTATCTTTTCCCTTCAGGACCCCACCTTAACTTTTCACACAATAAATTATTCTCAGCCTAAATGTTAAAATCACTACATTAACATTTGTAAAATTAGATATAAAAGCTACTTTTGTGAAGCCTATTTCCATTCCTCTTGTTCTACTTTGTCTGTTTTCATCCATACACATGAAAACTTTGCCTCTTATATCTCAGCTGTACAGAATGAAAGAGATCGGATCAGCTCCCGAAGAGCCATCCCAGATTCCCAAGACCTTCCACCGATTACTATCTTGGCACAGGCAGAATCATTATCCCAGCAAGTAAGAATAATAATATATATATATATAAAAAAAAATAATAATATATATATATATATATGTGTATATATATATATATAT